TCTAAGTTAATAACTTTCTCTTTACCAGGCGATTATTCTCTCATAATCTTACTTGTTGGGTTCTCCCAACTACCCTCTAATTTATCCGACACCTGAGGCCCATTCGCCTCATTTCCATCATCCAACCTGTACTTAACCATTTTTCTCACACGGGAAAAGAGAAACACTCCGACTAAATCCAGTTACAAAAGAAAAATATTCTATTGTCAAGGTGCAAGATTTTTTACGAGAAAAAACGGGAAACTAAAAAAGCATTTTACTTGTCACTTGACTTGTCCTATTGTCGTTTCACTTGCCAAGCAAAAAACAATGTTCGATGAGTTTTAAAACATTATAGCCAAACTGACCAAAGGCCATTGGTTCTACTCCCTCAACGAAATAACCTTCTTCTTCCCCCTTTTCGGTTATGATCACGTTCTTCTCTGTCCTTAAGTTCATCTTCTAATTTTCTGTTGGCTTCTCCGAAATCGCACTCTTAGCCACGGCATTAACTATGACACAAGGTCTTATCCTGGTCACTAACTATAACTCAACCGGCCCATGTTGGTCAGTACTGACGCTGGTCAACTGAAGGTTATCTGTCGACCACTTCGTTCCTTCATTTGCTCTGCCCACGTTGTTTTCTTTGATCACAGTGCAGTGAAGATCGAATTTTCGTCCGCACTTAAGCGCTGAATCGAGTTGGCGGAACCGTTTTATGAAAAAGGACAAAAACGCTTCCGGCGGTGAAAACACTATCATAACAAATAACGAAGAAGGACGCTGGGTTAATTTTCAGTTGGTCTATATAATCGTTGATACAACAAAATTAACCCTTCCCGTTTGATTCTCTATCGTGATACTGTATCTCTTGTTTCTAAAATTTGGAGCGGATCAAACATTCACATGAGATGTTAGGTCGGGCATCTTCATCATCAATTCTCAACGTCAGCAATTCTCTAAGCCGGCTCAACACCAATGATTCCCTCGGCAGCAGGTCACGCGGTTTCTTCCGGTCTTACTCGGCCATCACCGAGCTTCAGCTAGCCTTCTCGTGGCTTCTGGTCATCTCTTGCAACTCCTACTGCTGGCTTCCACCGATCGTTCCATTTATATGCATCTCACCCAACTCTCACTATCTCAAAGCTCATTACGTATTCCTCAATTAATTATTTTCTCCAGCTCTGGAGACATGTCATCGACCCTAAACAAAAGCGGTCTAGTATTTCAAAACAAGCTTTGTTTCCACATTTCTCGATAATCGGGCGTTTTATCAAAGCAATGTTTTTTCCGTCAACAAACTCGTGCGTTTAAAGATTATTTCAAATCAACAATTTCTTTTGCTGATTTCCAGATCCGACCAAATTCAAAATTTCATTGTTTACATTTTGGGTTTTACTTAAATTCGGTCCTCGGCCGACAATGGCCATTCAAATACCAACGCAGTCAATTTTTTAAAAACGAAATTATTTATTTTTACATTCCGGCCTTTTTTTTTCGGGAACTTATAACAATTCTTATATGCGTTTCTGTTTATCAGAAAGAAAAAAAAACATTTTTCTCGCTTCCTATTTAAATTCTTGTTTCTCATTTAACGTTTTCAACCCTTCCAATGCTCGAATTCTATAGTGTTTCCACACGAACTCTTTTAATCCTAATTCCAAACTACCAGAGTCAACTACCACCAGTGACACTTTATAGTGTCACACTTCATGTTCTTCCATTTTTCCTTATTAAACTGTTAGCTATCTCTTTTTCCTTTTTTTTACTGCCCTCTTGGTAACTCTGACCACTCTGTAGTAGCTATTGATTCCAAAAATTCTATAAATCAAATCATGGCAGAAGTTCTGTCCTACAAACAAACTATCGTCCACTCCGAACCATTTTTGGATCCAAAAAATCCTACACGCAAGCCACCAATCTGCCACTGGATGGCATGCTACTAGCGTTTATCGTTGGTAGCCTGCTGTCGGACCGTCAGCGTGTTCGTCTTGGCAATGTTAACACTTGCGGGCCACCTAGTCTTGTGTGTAGCGAAGGAATAACAGTCCACGCCGCTAACCAACTACAACATTGAGCTACGGTTTTATTAAATTTTAACTTCAAAATGGAATTTTTACCTTAAAAAAATTAACGTTTTGTCAATAGTAATACCAAAATTCAAAACCCACCTCGCGGATACAATGATTGCAACAAAATTCGAGGTATCCATTAAAAAATATCTTATGCAACATTAAGACAAGTCAGGTTAAGCGAAATGAAAAAAAAAAAAAGTCAGATACGACGATTATAGTGAAAGCATCAAATACTACTTAATTAAAAAGAATTTAAAAAAGGTCTTGCCAAGTTTTTTTTCTATTTCTGGTGGTGTATTAACATACGCAGATCGTCGTAATTCTCAAATCATTACAGAAACCAATTCCACAATGGCCATCTAAGAATTTCTAGAATGAAATCTAACGCGACGCTACGTTTATTGGAAAACTATAAACCAAAACATTGTAAATAAGGTTAAAACATGTAAATATACACACGATATACAATTTGATTCTGAGCATATTGGTTCAAAATGGCTAAAATGTTTTTATCTTTCCCGCATCATATGCAATTTGATTCTGATCATATTGGTTTAGAATGGCTAAAAAAATTTTACCTTTGTTTTGCCATATGATATGCAATTTGATTTTGATCATATTGGTTCAGAATGGCTAAAATGATTTTGCCGTTCCTTTGCCACATAACATGCAATTTCATTCTGATCATATTGGTTAAAATGTTTTGGCCTTTCCTTTGTCGTATCATATGCAATTTGATTCTGATCAAATTGGTTCAGAATGGCTAAAATGTTTTGGCCTTTCCTTTGTTGTACCAAATTGGTTCAGTCTGAGCTAAAACATTTTGTCTGTTTTTTATCTGATGGTATTTGTCGATATTCTTTTTTTGTTTTTCTGATCATTTTTTCCACTTCACACAGTGACATTTAAACTTAAAATTAAATTTCCATCTGAACTCCTGATAAACAAAGTGTGTATACATTCTGGAAGAGAGCATTTTAGATGCCATCATGACACACAGAACATAATCCAAACAACAGTGAATTGTCTAGCATGACAAGATATAAAAAATGAACCTTCATATATTAGTAAAGATATACAAAGGTCATAAATCGGCAGAATTACGAAAATTCTGCAAAGAAAGAAGGATCTCCCAAATTTGGAGAGATAAATAATATTACAAATCAGACAACAAAGAAATCTATATGGAACTTCCAAATTCCCAAACACCATCAGCCCTCACTCCAGTCTTGAGTCAAAGTCAATAAACAGAACGCTTAAGAGACCCAGGCAGATGGGCAGAGAGAAAGAGAGACACAAAGCGGCAACTGGCAAATGAAGATGCTATTGAAAAGCACGTGACTTGCTGCTAGAAGGATTCCCAACTTTGAGCCCTGTTTCAAAAATTAGCACTGATAGGCAAAGTGTCACTAAAGATATTTTAGTGAGAACAGTTAATTTTTGTTATACCAAGAACTACATAAACCAACTTGAAAATTAACCCAAAGAATTTTTTTGTTTTTATTTCATCTGCAAAGATATTTTATTTTTTCCCCATCATAGTACAGCTCACTGTGGTTTGAATCAGTGCTACAATTACTGACATAAATCGATCCCTACCAGCTCTGTGATAAAGAAACACGATACGGGCAGAGCAGAGTGTGGACCAAGGTGGACAGTAACCAATGACCATTTACCTGCAAGTGTATCAAGCAGCATGGGATTGAACCTGCAATCAATTCATCATCCTATGACCTTGAGGACCACCAAGACATCTTCTGGTATAGGCAATCTATGGCAAGCGTTAGATCATCTGGTCACTGATGACCAGGCTGACCGAGGATCAACCACAAAGGGTGTTGTGTTATAGTGTGACACTTTGATCAATGGGCAGAGATCACATATACTACACTTTGATCCTATCCAGAAAACTGGCAGAGTGGTATTTTGATGAAAAAACAAAGTTTACAGATACTACACATTTATCCTAGCTAAATCTACAAATAATCTAATTTTTATGAGTACAATTTTAGATTTTTTTTATATATTTTCCCACCAGAATGTTCCGATTTTGAAAATGTAAGCAAATCAGTTTTTATCAATATGAAAATTTCCAAAGATATACACACACACACACAGACACATTCTTAGATGGTAGATTATGTTACAAGTAGAGATGTACTGGTTAAAATAATTGGTAATTTAATTACTTTCATTAAAGATTGATAAATAAAAACAATTAATGAAAAAAAAAACTCGCAAGATAATATTTAAATTCATTCTATGATGAAGATAAACTTTTGATTTTTAAACCAGAGATGAAATTTCTGTGATGCAATAAACAAGAATTACCAAGTGTAAAAATCAGGAAAAAGAAAAAGAAAAAAAAACATTAGATTATTGATTAATTGGAAAATGCTGATATGACCAATTATTGGTCGATTAACCACTGCAACCCTGGTTACCAGTAAAGAGAGTAACCATGAGGTTGAGTAGATGGATGGTAGAACAAGAACCACAAAGATAAAAGAGGTCCTAAAAAATTTTTAAGGAAGTTGTGGAGAGTCATGATCGCTTATGTTCTTAAAGGATAAGGCCTATAAAAAAAGGACAAGTATTTTTGTTAATTAAAAATGAAAATTAAGCCATCACAAAAACACAAAAAGATGATAAAAAAAACAAAATGAATGAGAAAACGTTTTTTAAATAAATTATTTTCAAGCCTTGCTACAAATACTGACCATCTTTGAGAGATACAAATTTACCAATTCTTTCCTCCTTTCTAATAGTCAGTTTTAGACACGTGAGGATCAGAGAAAGCTTTTGACAAGGGTAATTCTTTAGTTTTCTTTTATTTTCAAAACAAATTGTCCAGAAATAGGTATTAAAAAGGTGTTATTCGATGATTTCTGGTAATCTGCTGTAGTCGTGTTCTGGTGACATATTTGATCTTGAGATTCATTCCAGTCAAACCAAACGAAAAATTGATCTTATGAAAGCCAATGCTGTTGGGATCTTTATAAGCATAACCAATGCAGTAATGAGCCAAGAGTTGATCCAGCAGTTCACGTTCATCCAAAATTCCAGATTCTCAATTCTGAAAAATAGAGAATAAAATTAATTAAATGGAATTAAAACATTTTAACAATGAAAACAGGTAAATATTAAACCTGTTTGTATCCAAAAATAAGATAACATAGCAAAGGCAACAGTTCAGTGACAACAGGTAAGACAACCAATATGGGCAAAAATCAGCTCAGTTTATTTTAAAATGTTTAATATATTCAAAAAAAAATTTTAAAAATTGTGAATTTATTTTGTATTTGTTTATATTCAATACTCCTGGAATATTAAACAAAATGAACAACATTCAATTCACCATTGAATAAATCACATATAAATATGATTCCTACGTCATCAAAAGAATAATGATGAGGAGTTGTGGCATAGGAAAGTTTTATAAACACATGAAGTGTGTGTGCATGTATATATATCTATATATATATATAGCATAATGAGAAGCCACGTATACTTTCTTAATATGTATATATAGAAAAAGTTTCAAATTGAAAATTATAATGTTTTATTTTATGAAAGTATTTATTTATTTATTTATATATATATTTGATATTTCAAATTGTCCTCAATTTTTCATCAGAAATAACTGTTTGTTACAAATAAATTAAAATTACTGTTTGTTAGCAAATAATAGTCCGTCATTTCAAATCGCGGACGTCACGTGATATGCAACGTCACTGTTCGGATATTCTAACTTAAATCTAACTGTCATAAATATTTAAAACAATTTTTTACTATATCTAAAAAAAAAAAAAAAAAAAAAATTAACTATTGAAATATTTATAAAGATTTAAAACACCTAAGTCCCTATTCAACCCTAGTTTATGTGTATTTAATTTTAAAATCCAATATGTTTCTTTTTTTTTTTTTCTGCGTGTGAATGTGGAAGTAAAATCGGAATCTATTAATAAACATTTGCAGTTTTCTAATGTGTGTCCTGATTGATTGTAGTGTTTAGCTATATATATATATATATTGTTTTTGACGTATTGTTTGTTTATGGTTATTAAAACGAAATCTAAAATTGTTTTTTTTTTTAGATATAGTAAAAATTGTTTTAAATATTTATGACAGATTTAAGTTAGGAATATCCGAACAGTGACGTTGCATATCACGTGATCGTCCAATGTTATGAAGGACGCTACTTGTTAACAAACAGTAATTTTAATTTATTTGTAACAGTTATTTCTGATGAAAAATTGAAACAATTTGAAATATCAAATATATATATAAATAAATAAATACTTTCATAAAATAAAACATTATAATTTTCAATTTGAAACTTTTTTCTATATATATATATATATATATATATATATATATATATATATTATATCATAAATGATTGTATTTTCAATATGTGGGTTATCATTTTGCTCTAAAATCTGCTGTCATGTTATTTTGCAAAATGCAATGATTATATTGAATCAATTGCTATTGTCAGCCACTAAGAAATTTGGTTCACTTCGTCATGCCAGACAATTTTCTTGTCAGAATCCATTTTACATATTTATAAATCTACCATTCATCTATGCATTGAATATTGCTGCCATACCTGGTCTAAATATTCATGCTCTGGCTATATGTTTTGAGATTCTTTGACAAAAATCCAAAGAAGGGTTTGTAATGTTATCAGTCATTTTAACAATTTCTCAAAACTTCAGTCACTTTTCCACCAGTGTCTTCCCTTTCTCTTTTCTATAAATATTTTCATGGCAGTCGTTTCTCCGTGACAAGGCACATAACTGATATGACTAAATGTTTAAGCAAAAATCCAAGAAAATGAATTAAGTTTTATTTATATGTTTAACTTAGTCTTTACAGGGCCAGAATAATGGAGCACTTAAAGATCAAAAACAAAATCTAGTGAGTTGAGGTAATATGATATATTACAAATCCACACGTGTGGGGCACCCAATGAGGATTAAACACATCGCAGAGTAAAGAAACCTCCAGGAGTATTAGCAACACAACAAGACAAACATGTTTTTATCTAAAATTCACAGATACAAATTGAAATTAAACAAGGATGTCTTGGTAGCCTCCATAAATAACTGCCATCATGTGAAAGAGAGTTCATTGATTGAGGTTCACAAATTGTTTCAACATGTTTTGTTTGTGATTAGACGTTCACAAGACTCATATTGAAGTGATGCTTGACCAGCCTTCAGTCAAGTGTGCCTCTTAAAAACTTATGCTGGATGTAATGAATATTTGCCAGAAAGCTGACAAAGTATTTCAAGGGTAGCAGATTTGCCTAGCTTCATATAAAGTTTCATACAATTACACTGCTTGAATATATCAGTCACTGTAAAGATTGCAAAGCCATTTCAATACAACATAACAAAACCTAGTATAATCTTTTGGTAGACTGACTCAGTAGAGTTGGTACCAATCATTGTTAGTTGCATGAATATTTCCATTAGATGGAACAATTACAACATAGATACTTCTGGAATTTGTTTTTTAATATCAATTTGTAAATTTGAAAATGTATATATTGAATATTTATGAATTTTTCTAAAAGTAACTGTTATACTGGAACATACCTATTCTATTGTTAATAGACTCTCCCACATATAATAAGTAGTAGTAGTAGTAGCAGTCGCCAGTGAGCTCAGTGAGTTGGTGAGTCAGTCGATGTCGGACATTAAAGTATCAACAACCACAACTAGATTGCTGCATCATTGACTATTGTATCAAGTTCCTAACGTTTTGTACGTCGAACCTTTTTAGGATCGACTTAGTGAAATACAAGCCTCCACTGTGAAACTACTCTATAACAACTTTGGCGATGAAGGATTCATTTTCATACAGAGGAAAAAAAAAAAATTTTTTGGTTCACTCTAGAACACTTGACGACTACGATTCGAAACTCGTACGGAGAAAACAAAAAAAAAAAATTTGTTTTCCAAATACAATATTTGGTATAACATATTATTCGAACTCATACGGTGGAAGAAAAAAAATTCATAATATATAATTGGGTGATGAAATTTGTACTTATACAGAGGAAAAAAAAACTGGCTGGCTCGTCAAATTTTTGTCAACATCTCAGATTCATATTTAAAAAAAAAAAAAAAAAACTTGCAAAGTTTTCAAAAGACAAGGGTAAAAAAAAAAAAAAAAAAGTTTTTTTTAAGACAAGACGTCAACTTAGTGATAAAAAAAAAAACAGTCGTATTCTCAACTGAGAAAGAAATTTTTTTTCTCGATAAGACAGTTTGCTCAAATAGGTCACGAATTGCAAATTAGTTTTGGACCCCCCTCTACAATATTTAAGCATTGTGTAAACTTTTTGCGAAGATGGAGGAATGCAAAAATATATTCCAGGAATTTTTTAAGTTCCAGACAGAACAACAGATGACAATATTAGAGCAACAGAAGTCATTCCAGATGCAGTTACAGGAGGAAACTTTTAATAGACAGATGCAGTTTCAACGAGAAATGGAACTGATGCATAAGGAGTTTCAAAACAGAATTCTGGAAATAACTGAGAAGAGGAAAGAAAAATCTACAAAATGATTCTTTCCCAGAGAATACAATATGGAATTCAATTGAAATATTCACATTGTTTCCAGATGAAGAGATAACTTTTGAAGAGTATTATAAAAATATATATAACGTGTATAAATGAGGACTGTCATTAGTGGGTCTGAAGGAAAGAAGGTTAGACTTCTTTTAAGCAAAAAGGAACTGCTGAGCATAACAAATTGGTAAACTACATTTTACCAAAAAAAAAACTAGCAGTTGACATTTACTGAGGCAGTAAATATATTAAGTGAATTATTTAGTAAAAAGACATCTTTGTTTCACAAGAGGTGGAAATGTTTGAATCTGATGAAAGATGAAGAACAAGACTATATAACGTATACAGCCAATGTGAATAAGCATTGTGAAGAATTCAAGCTAGCAGAGTTAAGCGCTGACAATTTTAAGTGCTTAGTGTTTGTTCAAGGGCTGGTATCGGAAAGAGACACAGAGTTGAGGAAATTGGTACTATCAAAATTGGAAAACGAACCAAGAATTTCGATACAAGGATGGCAGAAGACTGCACAAGATATGTTAAATAAAAGAAAGATTCGAAAAGATAGAACAGTCTGGCGTTTTGGCATGTAAGGAAAATACGCTACAAAAAAAAAAAGTCAGTCTACCAAAAAAAGAATGCTAAAATTGCGGATTATCAAACAAAAAGTGAAATACCAGAAAAAATAAACAAAAACTCCCCAAGCCATGTTTTTGCTTTTATTGAACTATACTGGTACAGATACTGCAATTTTAGGAATAAAAAAATGTTTCAACTGTAAAAAGAGTGGGTCATAAAAGCTCGCACTGCAGGTCAAAAAATAAAGACTTTAAAATAAGAAAATTAAAGTCCGACGATCTTGAAACGATGGAATAACCAGAAAATTTGTTACCGTCGAAATAAGTAATAAAAAAAAAATAAAAATGCAACTCACACTTTTTTCTATCCTATCTATCATAAATTTGCATACGTGGAAGAAGTTGGGGAAACCAACTTTAATGAAAACAAATAAAATCGCTAGGTCAGTGACGGGAGAAAAAATACAATTTATGGGAGAATTTGTTACAAACGTCACGTTAAATAAAAAAATGTGAAAAGCTAAACTATTTGTCATAAAAAAATATCAATGAACTTAAAGTGGTACGGATTGGATAACAGAATTCCAATTATGGGATCTACCGATAAATTCTTTCTGTTACAAGGTAGATTTTTAAACTACGAAGCCCAAAAATTAGTAAAGAAACTTAAAAATACATTTCCTACTGTTTTTCTCCAGGTTTGGGAACGTGTTTATGAAGATGGAGGCAAAATTCCAGCTAAAAGAAAACGCTCAATTAGGTATTCAAAAAAGAAAAGGAATGTGCTGTTTGCTTCAATTGAACAGATAGATAAAGAATTGGACAGATTAGAGAAAACGCGTATTTAAAAAAGTTGAATGGGTAACACTGACGATATATGTGAAAAACAAGCTCCAGAAAGTAAAGATGAAATCGACACCGAGAAAAACTGGGGATCAAGTTACACGCAATCAAGGACATGCAGTATTATTAAATGATTTAAGTCGACAAGAAGAACCTACAGAAAATGTGACTCCATCTTTAAGAAGCTCAAAGCGGAAGGTTGTTTCTGGTAACGCTATAAAAAAAAAAAAAAATAGAAAAGTGGATTGGCTATATGATGTACTTGGTTTAAGGGGAAAACACACATGCAGTAAACAGATCAGACGACGTTTTTCAGATGTGGTTGACAGTGGTCCCTGTGAAAAAACGCCAATGGAGGTGATTTTCAATACGTTTGATCTAACAACGCCTGCAATAATTTTATCTGAGGTTAAAATCCAGAAGAAAAAAAAAGGCAACTGATCATTTAAAAGTGGATCAAAAAAAAAAAAAAAATTATATGAATACGCTATTCTATGTTGCTAAAAAAATATATATATAATAAGTAGTAGTAGCAGCAGTCGCCAGAGGGAGTTCAGTGAGTTGGTGAGTCAGTCGATGTCGGACATTAAAGTATCAACCACCACAACTAGATTGCTGCGTCATTAACTATTATATCAAGTTCCTAACATTTTGAACGTCGAACCTATTTTAGGACCGACTTAGTGAAATACAAGCCTCCACTGTGAAACTACTCTATAACAGTAACCTATTTAGATACGGAGATGAGGAGCCAAAGTGGAAATTCTATAAACAATATGCCTCATGATGTCTGCTAGTTTCAGTTATCTTTCAGGTCAGAAGGATTTAGATATATTTACATATTAATGTCATTTGATATAATTTTTGAATTAAAAACAAAAAACTTTAAATTCCATTGTTATGAAAATAGATCACCTGCTCGCTTTGAGAGGTGCTGAACATGACTCTGTTAAACATACATACACCTACATAGTCGTGTTTTGGGGGTCGAGGCAGGACCAGGATTAATCTTGCACAATGGATTTATGGTTTGAGGTAAGGTTTTTTTTTTTTTTTTTTTACAAGGTTGGATGTTCATCCAGATACACTCATGATAGTCCAAGTATACAGAGTTTTTTTTTGCAAAACACCATCTCTAGGAAGGTTGCCAGTCAAGACTTAAAACCCCAGCTTAGCCTTTATATATATATATATATATATATATATATATATATATATATGTGTGTGTGTGTGTGTTTGTTAGCTGCTGGCACCTATAAGATCATCCAACATTTGACAGGTCTTGTTTTTTCATCCTGTGGGTTTGACATACATCCTTCCATACCAGCAGAAAAGATAGTGGGGAAACTGATTTAGATGCCAACCACACAGCAAGTTGTATTGGGTTACATGTTACCAGTAGCAGGCCTAAGCCTGACCTGACTGAAACCTAAAAGAAACAAATATTTACTTTACTCTCTTCTAGTAAGACCAGGTTACTAATAACAGGTAAGTCTATCGTTAGAGACAGTTATATTGTTCATTATTATATATCATAGTCACAATGTCTACAAGTCTGTATTGAAAGAAAAAGTCAAAATATTTATTATCATGAATTCAGGGATTTACCTTTGGACATCAGCTTGTGGCAGGCACTCATAGACGTGATTCATTTCAATAATATCAGCATACTGCCAGCCCGTGTTCAAAAATCTGGGATAAGAAAAAAAAGAAAAAGAAAAGGTAAATATACAATAAACCACTAAACTATAGCCAAGTATTAATACTAATTGACAAGGCTTTACCTAAGAAATTCAGACAATTAGCTTAAGATTATTACTACTTGGAAAAGCAAGAGAAATAAGATGAAAGAAATACTAGTGAAAAATGAATAATAATTGACAAGGCTTCATCTAAGAAATTCAAACAACTTAAGACAATTACTATTAATTAATAATTTTTAACAAGTATTTCTTTTGTGAATTATTATTGTCAATTATTAAGAAATTTAAATTAGATTACTCAATGTTCTTTCTGAAAACAATTCTCCCAAATTAAAAAGAAAAATTTTCTTCTAAATATGTTGACATTTTCCTAATGTTAGGAAGATTTTTTGTAATTATGAAAATGTTGAATAGAAAATATATATGTACAGGGTGCAGCAGAAATTTGGCAAGTCCAAGGTTGTTTCATCTGTGGAGAAGGAGATGGCCTCAATTATTTTGGGATTGTGTTTATTGACTATATTGAAAGGGATCACACCATCAATGGAAAGTACTATGCCAACTTCCTGAGATGTCAGGTCAGGACTAATAACACTGCAGATTCTTTGGATTTTATCATTATATATATATATATATATATATATATATATATATATATATATATATATATATATATATATATATACACACACACACACACATGTATGTATATATATATATATATATATATATATATATATACACACATATATATATATATATATATTAATATTTTACCTTTCTGTTTGAGATTTCACACTAATGCAGGCCATCACACCTGGTAAGCTACACTGACGAGCTTTCAAGTTATCAATCATAATTTGTCCAAACTTGTCATTCATATGCACCTGAGAGACAAAGCAAAAATCTCATTAATAATAATTGAAATATTTCAACAGAATATTTTATTACAAATATTAATAAGAAAATATAAATTTTGCACATTCAGTGTCAACATGTTTTTTATGATTAATAAGAATGGAAAATGTTAATGTCATTTGTTGCTGAAGGAGGTGGGGAATCAAAATAGTGAATTCCATTTGCTTGAAGACAGGTTTCACTTCACCAAAGAAAAATCAAGAGTGACATTATTCAAGGGAGATAACTTTAATATCTGGAGAGTGTCTTTTTTAAATATATATCATTTACAAATTACAGCCGTTAATTTGATTGTTCTTAATTTATGATAATGAATAAATTTAAATTCATCTCTGAAATCTTCATTCATGTATTAATGTTGCTTAATATTTCAGTTTTATTCTAGAAATATTCAAAAACAAGTAAAAAAGTTATGACAAAACACATAATCATTTAAATATTTGTCCTATCCCAAATTCATGTGTAAATAAATTAATTAAAATATCTTCTGTATTAATTAATTTTACACTTCTTATTTATTTTAATATTTACATTTTAATTGTTTTTTCTTTATATTTTGTTTTTGTTGCCCAACAAAAAAAAAAAATAGACAATCAATTTTGTGGCTTTAACTGATTTCATCCTTAAAAAAATACAAACCAATTTGTCATTTTCTATTATTATAAATAAACAACATGCAAATTAACAGAGTAAAACACAAGGATCTATTCGGAAAATATGTTAGAATAATCCAGAACTTATATTTAGGAATAAACTGTCTGCATACGGATAGAAAATGAAAATAATTTAAAAAAAAAAAAAAAAAAAAAGTACTATTCAAACATAAAAGTTATCTCCCCTTACTTTTCCACATTTTGATTTTTCAATAAAGTGAAGTTTCCATTTGACACTCGAAATGAAGTCAATTTTCAGATAAATGACATTCACTGTTATGAAGTAGACCCTCCCCCAAAAATATGATACAAGATTTTTTTTTATTGCCATTAAAAACAAAATGAAAACTTCAAAAGAATACATTTAAATTATTGCAATATGTTTCAAAGCTTTTATAAAATATAACGTAAATACATTGCCAATGATTTTACAATAAGAGTGCATTGAAAATCAGGAAGAAAGGGATTGTCAGTGGTCAGGAATATTTTTTGTTTTAAACCCTTTCTAGGTCATTTGATGCATACAGATAGAAAATGAAAAATGTAGTATACACAAAAATAGAAAGAGGTAAGGATACATCTTCTCTCCAGATTTATTCAACCTCTACAGTAACACCATCCTAAGGGAACTGGAGACCCTACCAGGATTTATTCAACCTCTAAAGCAACACCATCCTAAAGGGAACAGGAGACCCTACCAGGATTTATTCAACCTCTACAGCAACACCATTCTAAGGGAACTGGAGACCCTACCAGGATTTATTCAACCTCTAAAGCAACACCATCTTAAGGGAACTGGAGACCCTACCAGGATTTATTCAACCTCTATAGCAACACCAGCCTAAGGGAACTGGACACTCTACCAGGATTTATTCAACCTCTACAGCAACACCAGCCTAAGGGAACTGGACACCCTACCAGGATTTATTCAACCTCTACAGCAACACCATTCTAAGGGAACTGGACACCCTACCAGGATTTATTCAACCTCTACAGCAACACCATCCTAAGGGAACTGGAGACCCTACCAGGATTTATTTAACCTCTACAGCAACACCATCCTAAGGGAACTGGAGACCCTACCAGGATTTATTTAACCTCTACAGCAACACCATCCTAAGGGAACTGGAGACCCTACGAGGATTTATTTAACCTCTACAGCAACACCATCCTAAGGGAACTGGACACCCTACCAGGATTTATTCAACCTCTACAGCAACACCATCCTAAGGGAACTGGAGACCCTGACAGGATTTATTCAACTTCTACAGCAACACCAGCCTAAGGGAACTGGACAACCTACCAGGATTTATTCAAACTCTACAGCAACACCATCCTAAGGGAACTGGACACCCTACCAGGATTTATTTAACCTCTACAGCAACACCATCCTAAGGGAACTGGAGACTCTACCAGGATTTATTCAACCTCTACAGCAACACCATCCTAAGGGAACTGGACACCCTACCAGGATTTATTTAACCTCTACAGCAACACCATCCTAAGGGAACTGGAGAACCTACCAGGATTTATTCAACCTCTACAGCAACACAAAGCTAAGGGAACTGGACACGCTACCAGGATTTATTTAACCTCTACAGCAACACCATCCTAAGGGAACTGGACACCCTACCAGGATTTATTTAACCTCTACGGTAACACCATCCTAAGGGAACTGGAGACCCTACCATGATTTATTTAGCCTCTACAGCAACACCATACTAAGGGAACTGGAGACCCTACCAGGATTTATTCAACCTCTACAGCAACACCATCCGAAGGGAACTGGAGACCCTGACAGGATTTATTCAACCTCTACACCAACACCATCCTAAGGGAACTGGACACCCTACCATGATTTATTTAACCTCTACAGCAACACCATCCTAAGGGAACTGGAGACCCTACCAGGATTTATTTAACATCTACAGCAACACCAACCTAAGGGAACTGGAGACCCTACCAGGATTTATTCAACTTCTAAAGCAACACCATCCTAAGGGAACTCGAGACCCTACCAGGATTTATTCAACCTCTACAGCAACACCATCCTAAGGGAACTGGACACCCTACCAGGATTTATTCAACCTCTACAGCAACACCATCCTAAGGGAACTGGACACCCTACCAGGATTTATTCAACCTCTACAGCAACACCATCCTAAGGAACTGGACACCCTACCAGGATTTATTCAACCTCTACAGCAACACCATCCTAAGGGAACTCGAGACCCTACCAGGATTTATTCAACCTCTACAGCAACACCATCCTAAGGGAACTCGAGACCCTACCAGGATTTATTCAACCTCTACAGCGACACCATTCTAAGGGAACTGGAGACACTACCAGGATTTATTCAACCTCTACAGCAACACCATCCTAAGGGAACTGGACACCCTACCAGGATTTATTCAACCTCTACAGCAACACCATCCTAAGGGAACTGGACACCCTACCAGGATTTATTCAACCTCTACAGCAACACCATCCTAAGGGAACTCGAGACCCTACCAGGATTTATTCAACCTCTACAGCAACACCAACCTAAGGGAACTGGAAACCCTACCAGGATTTATTTAACCTCTAAAGCAACACCATCGTAAGGGAACTGGAGACCCTACCAGGATTTATTCAACCTCTACAGCAACACCATTCTAAGGGAACTGGACACCCTACCAGGATTTATTCAACCTCTACAGCAACACCAACCTAAGGGAACTGGACACCCTACTAGGATTTATTTAACCTCTACAGCAACACCATCCTAAGGGAACTGGTGTCCCAACTAGGACTTATTATTGGTGGGAGTAATCCTTACAACATGAGATATGCAGATAACACCATGTTGATGGTCAACTCGGAAAGGAAGCTACAGGACAGGGTGGTAAAAGAAGGAAAGAAAAAAGGACTATCAACTGCAAGACTGCAAATATGATCATCAGCAAGAGAAAAAGCCAGAGATGTGCGATACAAATTTGAGATATAAACATCAAACAGGTGCAGAAGTTTAAATATCTAAGAAGCGTTTTAACAGAGGATGGAAAATGCAACACTGAGATCCGAACATGCATTGTATTAGCAAAAGAAGCATTGCAAAAGCTAAGCAAGATGCTGAGAAACAGAAAAAAATGCTGTTAGCAAGAAAGAAAAGAGTGCTGGATTGCTATGTGTTATCCATCCTCTTATATGGCAGTGAATTCTGGACAATCTTATCATGGATGAGGAAAATACTAGAAGCAGTAGAAATGTGTTTCTACAGAAGGATACTGAGAATTCCATGGACAGAGCATGTGAGCAACAAGGAAGTCTTAAAGAAAATGACAACAGAAAGAATGCTTATACTCAAAATCAGGAAGAAGCAGCTGAAATTCCTTGAACATATAACGAGGAAAGAGGGCTTGGAAAACTTAATACTCATGAGACATATTGAGGGCAAGAGAGATAGGGGAAAGGCAGTGAGCTACTTACCTGATGAGGGGCCTTAGCAAAGAGAGAAAAACTTCTATGAGCCACATAAGATGGATATAATTATGGAGAGCTATGATCACCTATGGCCAGAAAGGACATGACACATAAAAAAATCTGCTCTTACCCTTAAAACCAGAATTTAATGATTTTAGCCAAAAATTTGGCAATTTTCTTTTAAATCGAAAACTGTTTTTTGAAAATATGTTGCACACTGAAGTTTAGGAAGAAAAGGATTGTCAATGGTCAGGAATGAAAACAATTATTACTAAAAGAATTTGGATATTGTCTGGATAATGTAAGTACAATGCTAATAATTTTATAGCCGAAATTAATTACAAATGAGGAAGAAAAGGATTGTCAGTGGTCATGAATTAATGTAAGCATGACTGACAGAAAACTGCTATTATATGTATAATGTAAATGTATTGCAAATGATTTCATGATAAGAATATATTGAAAATCAGAAAGAAAGGGATTGTTAGTGGTCAGGAAGAAAGCAAGCATCATGGATAGAACATGGGGTTAGTGTAAGCAATAGTTAATTTCTGAAAACTGCTCTTTATAAAAGATAGAAAAAAAGTTTATTCTGTTTTGAATGTGAAAGAATAGAAATCTTACATAAAAGAAATTATCCATTGATCCCAAGTTTATTATCATTGTATAATACTTACTTTTAGATTGTGTACGAATTAAGAATGATTTTCTTCTTACCTGCTCATAATTGATGAAGAAGGCAGACATAAAATTGTCAGTAATCCATTGAAGAAGAGCACTCGAATGTTTCACCTCCATGTAAATAAGGACACACTCGGCCAGAAAAATAGTTGGCAAATTTCGGTCCACTCCACATATGCTGAGTTTACTGTCAAGCTCATTAAGGTTTCTCAGGTTGGCACCAACCAGGTGATAATTGGAGCCATGCAGGTCGTATTTATCAATTTTAATATCACTGTCTAGGATTTGAAAAAAAAAAAAAAATTAAGTCAAGAAATTCAAGATTAAATTATTTTCAAAGAATTTCAATGAGAATAAAATCATTGACTCAATACAAAACATTTGCATGTCAACTGATGTAAATTAAATGATTTTTTTAAAACAAAATCATTGATTTAAATCAATTTTACAAAAATCTTTATTTAAAGCAAAAGGTTTAGAAATAAAACAATTTTTTTGTTTTCATGTAATTTCATAAAAAAAGAAAAGTGTTAAACATTTTGAATCAAATATTTATTAATTAACTGAATTTTTTTTCTATAAAATAAAATTTTAACAATTAAGAAATTTCAAACTTCAACTTGAGGAATGTTTGTATTCATGGATTTAAATAGAAAGACCAGTTTTGTTGGTTTCTCAGTTTGAAATACACCAGTCCATTTGACGGGAAAACTCGTTCACTGCCAAATGAAGCCCTAGCTGACAGGAGTTGCTTAACCACAAAATGTATTTCACTGTTCAACAAACTTTCAAATGTCAAAAGGTAAAAAAAAACACAGAAATTGGAAAAAATTAAAAAAAAACAGGTCTAAGTTTAAAAAAAAACAACACTTGCTGGCAGTGTTGCTAGCAAACTACTTATAATAAAATTCCCATAAATAATTATGTACAAATCAATATTACATAGCTGATGACATCTTGTCAATCTGTTATTTTAAAAAACCTGTGAGAAGAAAATAGTTGCCTTACCTTATCTGAAAAACCACAACAGAAAAAAAATCAACAAAAACAAATCTAAGTTGAATGTCGATGCGCCCAAAACCTTAAAATGGTAAAAATTAAATCTAGATTTTCATTTAAATTTTTATTTAAATTGATGAAAAAGTGAGCTTGATTTGACCAAATATTGTGAATTTGACAACCCTAAATTACTCTACTGTCCATCTTAATCTCTCAATCTATTCATATCAGCTTTGATCTTTTTGATTTCTTTATGGGCAAAAAAAAAAAAAATCAACAAGTCTGATTGCCAGCAAGTCTCTGTGAAAGGGAATGTTATAGAAGTCTTTGTTATAGGAATGTAACAACAATTGTTTTTTACTGTGAAAATACATCAGCCAAAATGAAAAAAAAAAAGTATGTGAAATGACACTGAAATGGAGTCAGATGAACTGAAAGTCCATTGACTAAATTAAAGAGGATCTTATTCTTTATTATCTGTAAATTAACCATGAATTCTTGGGAAAGATAGTGGAGTAGTTTCTCACTGTTGTCTCTATGGTTTATGATTGATTTTATTTTTTTCACGGCTTATCAAGCTTTTTCAGGTTATTTAAAGTTAGGACATATTTTTAAATTCTAAGAAATCTTTTGTAGATAATGATTTACTGGTACAAATCCTACTAATTAACCCATAGCTTGAGGGGAGAAGAGGTGGATTCGTACCTTTCCCAAAGGTATTTGCACATAAGTAAATATAATGAAATTGACTGGAATTGGAACTCCAATTTCCAATTTCAAGTCATTATCATCTACACCACCCACACGTTCCCAAGTGGTCACCTACCTTGGTACTGACCAGGCTTGATGATGCTTACCCTTGGCGTTCATATGAGAACCAGTGTTCCAATATGACATGGCCATAAGCCCCTCCATAGTTTAAAATTCAGAGTTGTCTTTGCATTTCAGAACATATGCTATCATGGCTTTCCACAGCTTCCTTTTCTTAGATTGGTTGTCACCCAAAGAGAGATGGTCCATTCTACCCTTCTACTTTGACCATAATTAGATTATATAGATTCATGTACATAACAACAGTTTCATGCCTTTTCCAAGAGTATTTGTGCAAAAATGAATGCAACAGACTAGCACAGAATTGGAACTTGGCTCCCCAATTCCACTACCCACACAAATCTGTAATATTACAAAGTATTGGCAGTGGAATAAAAAGCAAATGATATTAAACTGAAAGAGACACAAATCTGTAATTAATAATAATTGATAATGCTTCATTTAATAATAAAATTCAAATTAACAGCTTTACTTTGTTAAAACCAAAATTAATAAAAACTCAAGCAAAAGAAGATTGAAAACAGCTCACATGCCTTCGTTGATCACTTTCTGCAACAAGGATTTTCGAGATTTGATGAAATGGCATTTCTTGCTAGTGACAGTTGGAAAGTCAATGTCAACAAAACATTTTGGTGCCAGGCCCTGATCTTTCAGCAGCCAAAATGTTGTATCAAAGCCGGCGCCAAGATTGATGATTTGACATTCACATTTTGTCGTCTGAAAAACAAAAGACATGAGGAAATTAGTTCAGTTAAAACTTGATGACATAAAAAGTGAGCTTGATTTGACCAAATATTGCTAATTTGACAACCCTAAATTATCCTACTGTCCATCTTAATCTCTCAATCTATTCATATCAGCTTTGCTCTTTTTGATTTCTTTATAGGCAAAAAAAAAAAAAAAAAAAAATCAAAAAATCAACAAGTCTGATTGCCAGCAAGTCTTTGTGAAAGGGAATGTTATAGAAGTCTTTGTTATAGGAATGTAACAACAATTGTTTTTTACTGTGAAAATACATCAGCCAAAATGAAAAAAATAGAGTATGTGAAATGACACTGAAATGGAGTCAGATGAACTGAAAGTCCATTGACTAAATTAAAGAGGATCTTATTCTTTATTATCTGTAAATTAACCATGAATTCTTGGGAAAGATAGTGGAGTAGTTTCTCACTATTGTCTCTATGGTTTATGATTGATTTTATTTTTTTCACGGCTTATCAAGCTTTTTCAGGTTATTTAAAGTTAGGACATATTTTTAAATTCTAAGAAATCTTTTGTAGATAATGATTTACTGGTACAAATCCTACTAATTAACCCATAGCTTGGGGAAAAGAGGTGGATTCGTACCTTTCCCAAAGGTACTTGCACATAAGTAAATATAATGAAACTGACTGGAATTGGAAAACAAAAGACAAGAGGAAATTAGTTCAGTTAAAACTTGATGACATAAAAAGCATTTTATACCCTTTTCATACATATATCTGCATTTCACACAACTAAGCAAATCCAAGCAATAGCAGTTAACACAATGTATATAATAGTCAATTGCTGATACACTCTGACGAGTGGACAGAGTAAGTCCTAGAGGGTCTGTCTACAAAACTCTGAAGCCAGGATGCTGAAGGTAACATCAATCAGGTAAGTGACAAACCTTTTACTTGTATTAATTCAAATATATACATATGTATTTAAGCATCCACCATAGTTTACCCTGGCTTTTGCAGTTAACCTGAAAGAAAAAAAAAAGGAAGAGGAAAGTGTCTATGAATTAGATGATAATTGTTCAAATTCACAGGAGGGTGGATTGAAAAGTTGAGAAGAAAATTAAAAGCGAAACGTGTTGAAAAATCATGTTTCAAAATAATAAATGAACTTCTGAACAGTTCCAAGGAGAATCAAACCCAAAATTTAACTCGACGGAAGTCAGTAAGATTGAACAAAACCAAGACTAACCTCCTTTCCAACTTCCTACCAATAAGAAAGAGACTATTAATATACCCTTGAAAATGTCAAATAGAAAAATGATAAAGAAACCCGGGTGGTCACCAAAATAACATTTAAGGATCATTCTGGACAAAGAGCCATGAAAAACATCTGGTTTAAATTGGCCAACTAAAAGAAAAGTGTCCCTACAAAAAAGAGAGATTAATTTGACAGGTTCATTTGTTTTGATTTCTGTGACATTTGTCAAAGATTTTATATCTGACATCAATTCGGATTTTTTTCGATACAAGCAATAAAGAAAAATTAATTACTAGCCCTGGAGTGATTATAGGTGGCCAGCTGAGTGGTCTGGTTGATCGAGAAATCACAGCACGAGACACTTCAGTTTACTTCATCAGCAGTTTTCTCACCCTCTGAGATCAAAAACACAATTTCACTCTCTCTCATTCATTTGTGACTTCATATTTTGCCCCAATGGCTCCTAAGAAAACTCCTAGTGCAAGTGCTAAACATCATGCTATAATGCAGGTCGATAAATTTACTATGATAAAACACCATGAAAAAGTTGAAAAGGTTATATCAATTGCTCAATCTTTTGGAATAAGTCAGACAATTGAATTGATGATTGTTCACAATAAGGATAAGATTTTGGCACATATCAAATCTGATGCTCTAGACTTAAACTTAAAATGACTTAAACTCGATTTTTATTTTTTCATATATATTTTCTTGACTTCAATCAAAATAATATAACCCAAGGTATACTTGTAATAGATTGGTAACAAGATCTCATCAATTTACAGTTGAGTTGGCTTAGATATAACCATAAGTTCTATGCTAACAGTTTTTTTTCTTGCATTTCCCGCTTGTGGAACACTCTTCAAGCTCCATGCTTTCCAGCCAACTTTGATCGTCAAAAATTTAAATGCAATAGCAATTGTTATCTATTGTCTTCTTGATTACTCTTCACTTGTTCTTGATCCTTAATAATATTTCATTTTTTTGTTATTCTTTCACACTCAGTAGCCCCTTGTGTTTTTATGGCTTTACTGTCAATCGTTATCTACTCTCCTCTTCATTACTCTTCTATTGTTCTCCCTCCTTAATAATATTTCACTTTTTTCTTATTCTTTCACACTCAGTAGCCCCTTGTGTCTTTATGGCTTTACTGTCAATCGTTATCTACTGTCCTCTTGATTACTCTTCTATTGTTCTCGTTCCTTAATAATATTTCACTTTTTTTTATTCTTTCACACTCAGTAGCCCCTTGTGTCTTTATGGCTTTACTGTCAATCGTTATCTACTGTCCTCTTGATTACTCTTCTATTGTTCTCGTTCCTTAATAATATTTCACTTTTTTCTTATTCTTTCACACTCAGTAGCCCCTTGTGTCTTCATGGCTTTACTGTCAATCGTTATCAACTCTCTCTTGATTACTCTTCTATTGTTCTCGCTCCTTAATAATATTTCATTTTTTTCTTATTCTTTCACACTCAGTAGCCCCTTGTGTCTTTATGGCTTTACTGTCAATCGTTATCTACTCTCCTCTTGATTACTCTTCTATTGTTCTCGCTCCTAAATAATATTTCACTTTTTTCTTATTCTTTCACACTCAGTAGCCACTTGTGTCTTCATGGCTTTACTGTCAATCGTTACCAACTCTCTCTTGATTACTCTTCTATTGTTCTCGTTCCTTAATAATATTTCACTTTTTTCTTATTCTTTCACACTCAGTAGCCCCTTGTGTCTTTATGGCTTTACTGTCAATCGTCATCAACTCTCTCTTGATTACTCTTCTATTGTTCTCGCTCCTTAATAATATTTCACTTTTTCTTATTCTTTCACACTCAGTCGCCCCTTGTGTCTTTATGGCTTTACTGTCAATCGTTATCTACTGTCCTCTTGATTACTCTTCTATTGTTCTCGTTCCTTAATAATATTTCACTTTTTTCTTTTTTTTCACTCAGTAGGCCATTGTGTCTTTATGGCTTTACTGTCAATCGTTATCTATTCTCCTCTTGATTACTCTTCTATTGTTCTTGCTCCTTGACAATATTTCACATTTTTCTTATTCTTTCACACTCAGTAGCCCCTTGTGTCTTTATGGCTTTACTGTCAATCGTTATCTACTCTCCTCTTGATTACTCTTCTATTGTTCTCGTTCCTTAATAATATTTCACTTTTTTCTTATTCTTTCACACTCAGTAGCCCCTTGTGTCTTTATGTCTTTACTGTCAATCGTTATCTACTCTCCTCTTGATTACTCTTCTATTGTTCTCTCTCCTTAATAATATTTCACTTTTTTCTTTTTTTTTCACTCAGTAGGCCATTGTGTCTTTATGGCTTTACTGTCAATCGTTATCTATTCTCCTCTTGATTACTCTTCTATTGTTCTTGCTCCTTGACAATATTTCACTTTTTTCTAATTCTTTCAGACTCAGTAGCCCCTTGTGTCTTCATGGCTTTACTGTCAATCGTTATCTACTGTCCTCTTGATTACTCTTCTATTGTTCTCGCTCCTAAATAATATTTCACTTTTTTCTTATTATTTCACACTCAGTGGCCCCTTGTGTCTTTATGGCTTTACTGTCAATCGTTATCTACTCTCCTCTTGATTACTCTTCTATTGTTCTCGCTCCTAAATAATATTTCACTTTTTTCTTATTATTTCACACTCAGTAGCCACTTGTGTCTTCATGACTTTACTGTCAATCGTTATCAACTCTCTCTTGATTACTCTTCTATTGTTCTCGCTCCTTAATAATATTTCACTTTTTTCTAATTCTTTCAGACTCAGTAGCCCCTTGTGTCTTTATGTCTTTACTGTCAATCGTTATCTATTCTCCTCTTGATTACTCTTCTATTGTTCTCTCTCCTTAATAATATTTCACTTTTTTCTTATTCTTTCACACTCAGTAGCCTCTTGTGTCTTTGTTACTTTGCATGGACAGGTGATATGATTAAAAAAAGTTCAGGCCAGTGACCTCTCTTCTGGCTTCTTGCTTTCAAGCTAAATTTGATGTTCAAGAATTTAAATGCAATGCCAATCGTTATATACTGTCTTCCCGATTATTCTTTTATTTCTGTCGCTCTTTAATAATGTTTCTGTTTTCTAATTCTTTCACACCCTATAGTCTTTTGTATCTTATTCTTTATTGTTGAATCATCTAGTACTGAGGTATACAACCTATGAAAAAAAACTATGTCTGATAGAATTAGCAGAGTATAAGAAAGAAAAAAAATTAGCTGTAGGAAAATTACTTAATGGCCTCCATTTACAAAGCTTCTCAAGTAAACAGATATGCGAGTCGATGTATTTAGGCTAATTAATGACCATGTTGCTTTCAGTAAATTTGGACAGAAACTAGCAAAGTTTCATCAATGGATAATTTTCAAATTTTAGAATGGTCCAGACCAAGATCACACTCTACAAATCACTGGTCATATCCATTGTCCTGTTTTGAGGCAGGACATTTGAGAACAAATGCTGGAGAAACCTCCTGAGAGAGCAGTAGCAGGAGCACCGGAACAAATATGGCAGCAGTATTTAATGCATAGACGAATGGGTGATTTGTAAATGTGCAAGGTAAATTCTTACAAGTAAAATTTTCTGGCACGACACAGTAACCCAACTTTCCTTGCAGAATTACATACTTACATCCATACCAGATTAAAACATACCCAAACTTTATTATCTACCCAATAACAAGACAATATTTACAAACATGCCCAAAAGATTCCACAATACAACTCATACCATTTAAAATCAAAGTGTCTATGTTATAAGTTAGCATCACCATGTAGAATATTTGAGCAATCAGAGAAAATTAAAACCCTATTTTTCTTGAGCCTACTTTATGGAAAAATTTCTTATAAAACCCCACAGATTTCAACTTTCAGCAGAGACATGACCGTTTCTATGCTATTCAAACACAAGAGAAGTGACTACATAGCCTTTTCCTTCTCCCCAGTGTGTACTGAAAGAAACATGTTGGTGACTTCATACGAAAATCATGTCCAATGATACAACAGAGACAGTCAATGAATCTTCACTGATGATCAAAGTCTTTTCTGAACCACAGCTTTATCTGTGGAACAACTACCTAAAGACTAACTCAACTAAAGACTGTTTTTACTCCTCTTTTAAATTCATGTGAATAGTATCTTTTGAGGTAATATGTTCGGGGGGGGGGAGGTATGCCATAAAATAAAATCTTTTGAGGTAAGGTGTGTATGCTGGAGATATGTCTTAAAATGAAAAAATAAATAAAAGGCAAGGATGAATGCTAAAAATAGTTAATATTTGTTTATTGAATAAAAATTCTCAAAAAAATGTCAGTACTACTTAAATAGTGCTATTATTATTTCAGATATAAAAAAAAAAAAACAATTAAATTGTATGTTATTTTTACTGTAACAGGAATTGAAAAACAAAAAAAAATTCCTTAACACCCACTCTCCTGGATCTTTTTGTATGGTTGCAGGTGTTCCCAAGGGCTCTACCCTTGGACCTACTTTGTTCTTAATTTTCATCAATGACCTTCCTGATGACATCAGTTCTCAACTCGGTATCTATGCTAATGCTGTCTTAATAATAAACCTGATCAGTTCAATGGTCAAATTGGTAGCTGATCTCAAAAATGACCTACAACATGCAACATAGATGCCAAAATGAGAGCTGATGTCATTGGGGAGGTTGTTAATGAAGATTAAAAACATTGTAGGACCAAGGATGGAGCCCTAGGGGACACCTGTGAGTACAAAAGGATGTAGATGAGAAGCCATACAGGACAACTTTCATTTCCTGATTTGATTGGAATGACTGGATCAACTCAAAAACATGCCCAGAGATACAGTAGATTTTCAGAAGACCTGAATGCCAGATCCTGTCCAAAGCCTTTGAGATGTGTTCAATATCACCAGGGCTTCACTGTTTTTATCTAGAGTATGATAGACTCTTTCTGTAATTATTGTTAGGACATCAGCAGTTGATCTGGAGAAATGAGGGCCGTATTGCTTGTCCATGAAAAGGCCCTGTGATGAGAGGTGACAAACCAATTTAGCATTAATTAGGGCCTCAAGAGTTTCCTAAAGAGAGGCAGAAGGCTAATAAGCCAATAGTTGGAGGGGGTCAAATGGTTCACCAGATTTCTTAAAAACAGACAGACAATGACTGAGCAAGCAGGAGGCATCAAGGCATTTATTATACAGTTTAGAAGAACAGGAGCTAGTTCGAGGGAACACTTCTTAATGACTATTACTGGGATGCCATTGAGTCCACACGTCTTGTGGGGATCAATGTTAGAAATGATAGCAGAAACCATGGAAGGGCTTATATGCATATGACTCAACAGAAAATCAGTTCTAAGTGGGAAGTTAGGCCGAGATATTCCAGATGAGTCAAGAGTAGAGTTTGAGGAGAATTTACAGGCAAAGCATTCAGCTTCATCAGCAGAGGGTGATAACACCTCAAATTGATTGAAGAGGGGGAATAGAGAGCTTGCACTTATTTAGTACCCTATTACAGTGATGCCAATAGTCACAAGAGCCAAAGTTTTTAGAGGCTATGCAGTACCTCATTCTCTCAGCAAAGAGGGACTTAGTTTCTTCAAGAATTTGCTTACATTTGTTACAAGCAGTAGCAAATAGGCATTTGTTATGAGGAGAGCTGTCACACTGGTATAGCCAAAAATGGTAGTTCCTGTGTGCTATGGTGACTGAGCATGCTGGTTTGAACCATGCAGATAATTGCAGTTTCACCTGGTATTTCCAAAGAGTCCATGCCAGCTTTGACCCAAGAAGAAACCTTCAGTGATGCAATTTTTCAATTGGGAGGTTAAAGATGTCAGTCACAAGGGGCATCACAAAGAAAATCCCAGTGTGAGTCCTAATCAGTAATCAATTTATTTACTACTTTCTTGATTAAAATAATAATTTAAAAATAAGATACAAGTACTTAACTTAGATAAATCGATTTTATTTGCTTGAAAACAATAGGGTATAGTAATTAAATAAATATTAAAAAATACTGGAGGTGGGATTAGCCCCCTAAATCCACCATTCAAAAAGTACAGCCCTGGTATTGTTGCAATGGGGTTTTATCTGAACTGGAACCTATGATTTTTTAGTTAATTTTTTAAACGTATTGGGGGTGGACTAGCCCCCTCCACAAACTATGGCCCTGGTATTGTTGTAGTGGGGTTTTAATACTTTTAAAAAAATATTGGGAAGGGTGCCTAACCCCCTAAGCCTGCTCTTCTGCAAGTAAGACCCTGGTATTGTTGTAGTGAGGTTTTATCTGGACCCCACGATTTTCAGTTATTTAAAAATGGAGGGGGATCGCCACTCCAGAAGGGCCCTCAACAAATCAATTGATTTTTAGTTACCGAATTTTACTTGGGTTTCCCTTCGAGATCAATATTCTTTTTAGACGAATGTTCCTAATTCCTTTTTAGTCTATTATAAGCGGAACCAATCATCACAAAGAATCGTAGAACTTTGTTCAATACGTCTTTGGATCACTGCTCCAAGACTAGAGCACTTCTCGAAATATCAGGAACAAATTCTACAAAGTAATTTATAAAATTTTTCAGAATTTCTTTCAATTCCTCCAACCAAAGAGCCATTGTTGATGGAGCAGTCGGCCGCGGTTATATTTTCTTTTAACAATCAAGGTTTCATCAATCTCCCCTAGTTTTTTGTCTGGACCTCCAATTTTATCACTAGATTTTTCATTTTTTTTTATTTTCATTCAGTCAAACAACAGCACACATTCCTACTAAATCTGAACTAGTCAACTAATGTTTGCTTCGAGTAACTGTGTAGTCACTTAATAAAAATTAAAGTCAACCATTCGGATGAGATTTTAAAATTTTTAGTCCATAAAAACTTTTTAGTTTTTATTAACAAAATTACTTTCATTTTGGTTTGGCTCATGCCAATTTACTTAGCCATCTCTTTTATGACCCCTGATTTTAGACTTACCGAAATAAAACGATAATCATTTTTTAAGTGATTGATAAATAAAAATGAATAATGATGTTTCAATTTCGATATTTTAAAAATAATGGATCTGTGTAAGAATTTTGCTGATACGTTTCCCAATTTTTTTTTAAACTTAGCAACAGCAACATTGAGTTGAGATTTCTTGTCAAACAAACAAAAACAATTTCTAGTCTAAAAGTTAAAACTTACAAACAATAAAAAGAAAAAATATATAACGGTTTTTTGTTTATGTTTTAGTGTTTGTTTTTGTTTTTTAAATTAAAACACGTGATTTGAAAAAAAAAAATAATCATAAAAAATACCTAACTTATTTACCAAGTTTCATATTGTAGCAGTTCTTAAATTCTTTTCTGTGTGGGTGTTTTTTACAGAACTATTTTAAAAACAACACTTGAAAATTAAAATTAAATCATTTAACTTAAATTATTTAATTAATTAATGATTCAATCTGAGATTTGAAATGAATCATTCTATGATCGCTTTTTAATTTCATATTTATTCATTAGTAAAAAAATAATCAAGATTTCTTTTGTTTTGATGATAAAAATTGTCGAGAGCACGGAAAAAAAAGAAACAAATTGCAAAAAGAAATTAAAGATTTCTGGGTTTTTTTTTGCTCATAATTATTTTTAAAAATGACAAAAAACTGGTGAGAAGGAAAAACAGAAAGTGTTACTTTTTAATTTTAGTTTATTTTTCGTATTCACACAAAGAGATTTTATGCAATTTGAATTTTATTGTAACAATATAATTTCATAATAAAGCTCAGCAAAAAATTAATTAAAAAGATTAATTAATTAATTAATTAATTAAGCGAAAATATGAATTTATCTTTCATGGAAGAAGAAGAACAAAGAAAGAAACTTAGGGACAAGAAGATTGAAACAACGAGTCTCATCGTTCCGGCACACGAAGAAGTTTATTCTGGTCTACAAAAGACAAATTCTTTCAAAATAACTCAATGTCTGCTTCTTAAATCGTTTATTTTTTTACTTATTTTTCATATTTCAGGAGGAAATTTGAAATAAAAAAACAAAAGACAACAATGAATTATGAATCGGAATATTTCTCTTCTTTTTTGTGTCTTTATGTCACTTGAACTTTAAAAAAAAAAAAAAAATCATTTTCAGGGCAAGTTCATTAAAAATAAATAAAAGCAAATTATGCAGTTTTATTCTGACATGTTACAAATAAAAAATGTTTTAAAAACTTTAGTTGCTTTTGTTTCCTTTTTTCTTTCTTTAAAAAGATTTCTTTTTTTTTTTTTTAAAAAAACCATTGAAAAATTGAAAACGACAAACATTATAAAAAAAGAAACGTCAAAGTTTCTTATGCACTAAACTCGAAATATGAAACTCATTAAAAAAAATCAAAATAAAAAAACGAATGAAATGGAGAGAAAGAAAAAAGTGAAGTATAATAATAAAAAATGATGGACTAACCCTGAGAAATTGCTCTAAAAGCAGACGAATTCCTTTAACCCTGGCGTAATAACCACGATTAATTTCTGGGGTATGGATGTTTGTCGGTCGGCCCGTAAGCAAAGATATGTAAGGGTCCGTCCAGTAACCCTTCTCCACAGCGTATCTTTTACACTGTGAGGCATCATCATTCGTGGAGATGGCAGCATCGTCGCTGGCCATAATTCACAATAATTTATAAAAAACTAATCCACTAGAGAAACGACGACAAAATAAAACATTTTTTCCAAGACGAAGAAATAGTCAGACAGCTTGACGAAACCATGCTTTCGCTAAACATCGAGAGTTATCGTTCTTGGTTGTTGTTAAATAAAGGAATTAGATTGTTCCCTGGAAAATGTACGGATGACTATACGGACAAATACAGACATTCTAGTCGTGCATTCAGTTCAGTTGTTATTTATTTTGCACCCGCACATGATGCAAAATTCGATAAAAAGATCAGTTACAGAAGGAAAAAAAAGCTTAAATCATATAAGGTCAAAGCACATTTATCAAGTTCTGCTTCAACTTTCCCTTATACATAGGGGTGAGGTGCTGTCTGTGGGGGATTTTTCCATTGGTCAAATTGAGTAGCTAAAATCACATTTATCAAGACTGGATTTCACTTTTTGCCCTCTTTCAACTGTTTCCTTCTTTCATACATTCTATACAAATCCTCAGGCACTGATTCAACACATAAGAATACAAACAAAGAATACTGTAGTGCCACGTCTACATTTTCTCCAATTCTCATTGGTTAATAAATACATGATACGCAAGTAATTCAAATTTTTCTCTAAAATCACGGATTGGTCCATTTCCTGACCAATCGCGTATTTTAGTATCTTTTCTATGTTTTTGGCGCCAAGCTATCCGGAGCCTACCCATTGTTATGAAAAGAATCTCGCTATCAACCAAAAGACCAGTAGCAGTTCAATTCTTGGAAAATAAGGCACGGCGCTATATTGACATTTTAATTCTTAATTATTACTAATTTGAGTAATCATACTAATTCCTGTTGATATCACTCATAAACATTACATCTTTCTACACTGATAAAACACTGTGGAACTTTTCTGTATTTAGCTAAGACTTCAATTGAACTTTGTAGTTAAATTACATTCAATTTTGTACTCAACATTTATTAGCTAAACTTACCCTTTTTTATTACGGAAAAAGGGAAGCAACTTTCTTTATACTTATTGTTGAAATTTGTATACCATTGTTAATACAATATATTATTAATGTTCACTGAGCTTGATTTTTTTCCTTGATGTTTAAATTTAATGTATGGATGTTGATTATCTTGAAACACGCAGCCGCATTTAATTTGATCAACCCAACTACTAATCACACCATAACAATACTGTATGTTACAACAGAATAATAATCTTTCAAGTTGGTTTTTTCTTTTTGTAATTGCCAATACTATCTGCTCCCTTCTTTCATACATCACAGACATATCTCCAGATATTACTCCAAGAATATTGTAGTGTTTACCATAAAAGCAAAATGAGTAGCCATCCACTAGTATTTGCTAAGTCTAGATAATTTATTGCTTAAAAAATTTACTCTATGGATACAAAAAGCAATTATCTTGTAGTGATTACTACTATGTTTGCCACACCTACATTGTTCTCAACTGTGATTGGTCAAATAATAAATACTAAATATCACAGGACAATTTACTTTTCGCATTCACCACACTTGAATTTTTTCCTACCGTTAACTCACAAACATGCTTTTTTTATAAAAAATACTGATTGGTTAATTTTTCATCCACTCAGATATTTTTCGTATTCTTTCTAAATTTATCTCCGTTCGTGCTGGGAGCCACCGATAGTAATATAAGTCCAGATTCATTCCCAAATTAAACAGTAGAGTTGAAGACAGTTTAACTGAACTACTCACATTATCTACACAGATTATTCATTCTTTTCACTAATTGCACACACACAGACACAGAACTTGAATATCATTCACCATCAGTTCTTTGTGAACAAAGCCAATTGCAATTTTGTGTTAGTTACAAAACACACAACTGTATGTTCTTCTGAATACAGAACTCTGAACATTATATTCAGAAAACTTGCTTTTTTAAATATCACCATATTCAACTAACAGATAAAGGGGAACTATTTTTTAAAATATTCACATTACAAAAATTACCTTGTATTTGTTGTTTTTAATATATGTTTTATCGTTGAAAAACAAATCGGTTTTCCATTGTTTTTCCTTGATTTAAAAAAATGTATAAATGTTAAATGCTCTTCAACACGCAGCCACATTAATCTTTTCAACAAAACACCATTTACATTGGTAAGCCCAACACTTAAGAAAGCAGCATTTACAATCTCCTTTTACTGGAGATGAAGACATGTGGGGTATGTGACAGCTGCTTGTCACTTTATAGTGATGTCTCTTTACAGAGTGAAAAAAGTGGACAGTTAGTGAGTCAGCTTCCAAGATTCAAACCAAGCAATCGCTTTTTTAACATGGGACAAACCTTGCCTCACCCTGGACCCTCTGCCCAGGCCAGCTGTTTGCCACATGTACAGCTTACAAGCCCATGGTGCCATTTTACTTTGGAAATATATCTTCACCAGATATAGAAACTGTCTCTGGGTCACAATCCTCATGTTGGGAAAACTTGCTGTTTCCTGTTTGAGAAGAATATGCCCTTGCTGGTGACACAGGAGATAAATCCGGCCTGATCAAGTCTGGAATCCTAAATACAGCTTCTCTAGAGACAAAAAAAAATCCTCCGGCAACTCAAATTCTTGTTAGAAATTATTGCAAGTAAGATTCTCTCTTTTCATCTTCTTTGCACTGCTTGTGTTATTTACATGTGTTATAGTTTTTCTGTGTGTAAACTGCTCTCTCAAGTGGTTTGTAACACCCTATTTATCAACTCTCAGTTGCGTCTCTGTCTTTGGGCAGAGTGCACTCAGGGGTGACTGTCAAAGGACAGAATCGCAACTGAGGAAAATTATACTGAGAGGTGCCCAGCTCTGGGGAACAGCTGCCTAAGGCCATGCCCTCTATTTGCACCAGAGAGAGGGATCAGTGCTTGCACCAAGGTCAATGCAACCAACAGTTGCGGGAGTTGCAGGCAATTTTATTCCTAGCCTAGGTGTACGCACTTGGGCTCTCCACATTAAAGACTTACTTGTAAATACCTAGTTTCTGTGTGTAGGACATTTATAAATATGTGTATATAATTTTGTGTATGACTTAGCAGTATAAAACTCTAAATAAATCAACCCCTATAATTACAGTGACATGCAGAGAGTTTAAAAAACTCTGAATAAGTGATATCCCTATCTCAAAGAATATGAATGAGCCCACGCCATCTTGTTCATAAACAAAACAATGAATACCATTGTTGCAAAGTGTTATATCCCATGCTAATAGGAATATATACTTGAAAAACAAGGTGGATAAAATAAGTAAAGGTTTATAGTAAAAAACCAGTACAATAAGAATAAAGGTAATAGTTATGCACAAGGTCGTCGCAAGTCAATCCAGTAGTAAGTGCTTACGATTGGAAGGTCAGTAGTTCTCACGTAAGTCTGATGTGTACTCAACAGATCCCAGCTAGTAATATTTACCAACCTCCCCATGGGGTATGATGTGGCACAAGGCCAAATTTAATGTGGGGCAATCTGAACCCGTAGGTTTAGCCAAAAATTCCTGGTAAACCCCACATAAATGGGTTCAGGTCTGTCTACCTCCCTGGACAAGACTCTGCCCTTCAGTATAGCCTCATCTGGGTTCCTCTCTGCCTTTGGGCAGAGTTCAACAGCATAGTTGGAACAGATCCCAGCTAGTATATTTAGCTACCCCCCTCCATGAGGGTTGCATGTGGCACAAGGCTGGTTTAGCGTGGGTTGTCCAAGCCTGTAGGCTCAGCTAAAAATATTCCCTTTTGAACCCGTATAAATGGGTTCAGAGGCAGTCTACCTCCCCAAACGAGACTCTGCCCTTCAGCGGAGCCTCGTCCGGGTTCCTCTTTGCTCAGAGGCAGAGAGTTTGACTGTTTAGCTGGAACAGATCACAGCTAGTCAACAGGTCGCAGCTAGTATATTTAGCTACCCCCCACCACCACCATGAGGGTTACATGTGGCACAAGGCCGGGTTTAACGTGGGATCTCCGAGCCCATAGGCTTGGCCAAAAATATTCCTTATTTGAATGCGTATAAACAGGTTCAGGGTCAGTCTACCTCCCCAAACGAGACTGACAGGTCGCAGCTAGTATAATTAGCTACCCCACCACGCGGGTTGCATGTGGCAGAAGGCCGGTTTAGCGTGGGTTGTCCGAGTCCATAGGTTCGGCCAAAAATATTCCCTTTTGAACTCGTATAAACAGGTTCAGGGGCAGTCTACCTCCCCGAATGAGACTCTACACTTCAGCAGAGCCTCATCTGAGTTCCTCTCTACCCGAAGGCAGAGAGTTCAACTGTCTAGCTGAAACAGGTCACAGCTAGTTTCTGTAGTCCATTGACTTACAGATACTTATAGGCAGTTACTCCCTATAGAGTAGTCATTATTATTCATTTATAGCATTTTTGGATACAACAATACATATATTTTCGTTGTCCTCTTATTACTAAGAGAAAAAACAAGAACAACATCTATTCCATACCTGAAGATGTCTGTAGGAACAGACGAAAGCTTGTAGTAAAAATAAGAACTAATACGGCAGAAATTTATAGAAACAAGGATCTTTTCATTCATAACGGATTCGGAGGTTTTTGTATATTATTTGAATTGTTTGCGACGATGGATTTCTCGCCAATTAAATCATTAACCTCTGCATTTGTTTTTGTGTGAATAATTCATGAATTTGTAAATTGATTGCACGTTTATCGTAATTTGTATTTTGATACATTGAATTTATTTTCAGTTTTTCTAGTTGAATTACTCACCTATATTACATATGATCCATTATTGTATATAATTAAGTTAAAATAAGATTTATATTTTACATGAATGCTACCTTAGGACAATTGTGATGTAGTAGAGTGGGGGGGGACCCATATCATAGATTTTGATTTTCTCCATGTGTCTATCTCGATTACTACCTACAATGAACTAATGATTCATATATAATACACTGGAACGAGCAATCGATTGAACTTTGTAGACTATGGGAAAGACAAACTCTTTCACTTATCACA